CTATTTTTTATTTTGAAAAACGGCATCTTATGCCTTTTCATTACGTGCTTTTATGTACTCTTTACTAGAATAATTGACAATGGCCCATTATAAATATAGTTGTACTTTGACCTTTTTTTTGCCCAAAAGAACCACCTTTAACAGTGGGGAAAGTGTCTGGTGCATTTTTCAGATTTTTATTTAAAAGATGGGATATACATAAAACTAAAGGGGGAGGGCTGTAGCCTGCCCCCCTTAAAAACGACGCAACAAAGGATTAACAGGGGAACGACAAGCCGACCCGTTAAACATAGTAGTCCAAAATTGAGGAATATAACTCTGCTGTCGACGGAATACCTCCAAATTCGAAGGAAACCTAAAATATTCCACAGTTTTCGTTTGAGAGAGGTGTGCGTCGTCTGGTGTCTGCTGTTGTCAAACAGTGAGATTTTCCGCTTATGATGTTGATTCTTTATGTTTTTCTGATGCCGAAATCGGAGAGGTGTGTCCTGAGAAGACCATTTTGGGCGAGGTGGTGAGTGACTTGGTTGACTTCCCTTGGACTATGCACGAACCTAATGTTTTTGTTGTTTTGCAGTTGGATCAATCTTTGTATTGTGTGTATCTGATAATCCAGTGTGGTGCTTTCGCCTTGAATCATTTTTTTCCTGTCTTTTCTGAGTCCATCTGCACTTGAGAAGAAGAGTAACCTTTTTGTATCATGTTTGTTATTGAGGTGTCCATCGCCATGACCTCCGCATGCAGTGGGTTCAGTGATTGGGCACAGAAGCTGATTGCCTGGTGATGGGTTCCTTTTGAGCCCCTGAGGATTGCCCCCTTTCACTTCCTTTGTCTGAGAATGCAGCATCTGTATTTCGTGTGAGCCCTTCTGGTAAGTTAGTTTTCCATTTGAGAAACTATGAGAAGAGGCATCAGTCTGTCCTTGTACATCTCTATGTCGAATTTGATGAATTTCTTCTTGGTGTTGCTGTAGCACCAGTTTAGGACAATTTCTTTTTATTTCTGTGATTGTGTGTGGTAGTGAAAAGACTTGTTGTCCCAAGTGATTGAAGTGTAATTTTTCCAAATGTGCCAGAAAATAATAATTGTCATTGTTTGAACTAATTTACTACATTTGTCCATGCTCTTCATCGCCCTGCAATGTCCCATTTAACTAATCACTCCTATCCATTCAAACTTACATTTAATTACTTTTAATTTTGTTGTATTTGCATTAGATAACAAGGTGCATTGGGGATGAGATGAACAAAATATCTTTAGCAAGCATTGGTGCCAGTGTGTTTTGTTTTGGTGCCAACGTTGTAAGAAAGCCTAATTGATTCTTGTTTCTTGTCAAAAGAGGTCCCTTTGTCAAATTAATTATATTTAACAAGCTTAAGTGGAGCACTGAGCTATATTAATGAGGGAAAGACTTTCTCTCTTTTTTTTTTTTTGAAAAAAAAGGAAAGTCTTTCTATTATTGTACCGTATATAGTTATTTTTTACATAGCATTTATTACTTATTACGGGCAGGTATGAGCACTACTATAAGCGTATAAGGATTATTAATTTGCAGACTTTTTCTGAAAGATATATCAATTACTAATTTTTAGCTTGTTTTAGTGACATGGTTGAGTATAACAAACTAACTAATATAATGTAGATTGTACCAAATAGATGTGAAGGAAGTTATTTCATGCTGGTCTCCCTAATATTTAATTGTTGTTTCTTTTAACAAAGAGTAAAAGTAAATCCTTATCTATAAATGAATTAGGAGTACAAAAGGTATGTCCGGAAACATTATACATTTACACAATTATATAAACATATTTTCACACCCAATAGAAAATTTGAGAGTGCACAAGTATATAAAGAGCCCGTTTGGTAGCATGAAAATCGGTTGTTTTGGTTGATTTTGCTGAAATTTATGAAGTTCTGGCTGAAGTGGCTGCATTGGCGTATTCTGCTGATTTAAGAAAAAAATATTTATTAATAAAATAAAGAAAAATATATGTAAAAATAGCTAAAATGATCATCTACGGTAACTTCAACTAATACAAGCAGAAAAGGAACTCCAACCTTACTTTTTCTGATTATTACACGATTCAACGCGTGAAAGCAAAAGTTACGTGTTTGGTGAAAAAGTTGCTGATAAGTCTGATTAGCTGAAAAACAGTTTTGCCAAACGGCCTCAAAGTTATGTGTTCCCTGTAGTTTTGGTGATTATGATAAAATGTAGAAGGCTAGACAACCTAGATGCCTAGACGCTAGATATAGGTACATTTTTCCTTAACTTGAAGAAATAATTACATAAATATGACCAAAATAAAGATAATTTACAAAAATATGATTAGTTACTAGAGTAGTAATGAAATCATAGTAATTCATATTCAAGTTTTGAACTTTAGCTACCACAACACTACGTTGTAGTAATGAATAGTTATATTGTTGTAAATACGTTTTATTTTAGTAATATTCTTGTAAAGTAATTAATTTTTTGTTTTCCATATACTTAAATTGAGCATTAGCATACATTTGGATTTGATTTAATACCTTAGGGTTCTCTTCACATGTCAAACAATTTGATTTGTTGGTGTTGTATCAACAACAAGAAATTGATAATAGTATGTTGTTGTTGCCCACATGTAATCTCTTGAAAAAACCTTCCTATGTACTTATATATAATTTGTCAAATATTTTGCATAGTAAATCACATTGGGCAATTATCCGATCGCGCAACGCGTGTGATAAAAACTAGTTTTACATAAAATCCAAACAATTGCAAGAGTTTCTTCTAATACATAACCGGGTATGCTATTGTCTTAAATATGCTCATGTTCGCTGCGAATTTCGCATACCCTTCATCTGCCCACTCGAGTCCTTGAGAATTTCTAACTATGAAATACTCTCTACCCTTATTGTCGATCCCATAACCGACTATGAGAACAGCATGATCCATTTGAGATTTTTCTTTTCCTTGTGTGCTGGACGACGATGACGAAGAGGCCTTGTTCATTGGCCCTTGGTACAGTTCATCCTTCTCATATAATACGAAGTACATCATTTCAAAGTTACGAAGTATCTTAATTACAAAAGCACTACTTAATTACTCTATTCATAGCAATCTGACAACAAAGTTAATTACGTAAAATAATTAATACTAGTAACATACTAATAGTAATGTTAACAATGATAAAAAAACAACACTAATATAATAATCACAAAAAATACTCATTAATAAATCAATACCTTTTTAATTTGAGGAAACTCTGGTGGAAAATCACATATAGCAACCACAGGAGTACATTGGTCTAGAAGTGTTTTTACAAACACTTCATCCACCGTATCATTCACAATAAAGTCATCCACTCCAACTTTGAAAAGCTAGGAAAAAAAAAAAAGATTATGGTAAAACCTAGCTACTGCATACAAAAATACGTAAGGTATGTACGTAGCACAAGTACATACTACGTATTACGGAGTAGAACAAATGCATAACATAAAAACTTCCAATACCACGTACTAATAAATAATTAAGTTGCGATGTTTGCACATACGAAGTAATATGCTAACATGCGGCTTTGAACTTCATCAGTCTTCAATTGTAAAATGGATTCATGTTTCAATGTTTTGCAATGTCTAAATGGCTAAAGTAAACTTACTATATCACTCGAGTAAACAAATACATCAAGATTAAACCATCACTCAGAATCGAGTTATCTTAACTAAAAGTAAATGGTGGTTCAAATTAATATTCAAATACTAATGTTAGCCCATAAATATGGATCTGGAATCAGATTTTGGGTAAAAATACGCCTGACATTATTCTCATTATGTGTGACTCGCTCCAACGTACATCTATATACGAAGTATTATATATATTGCACACATATATAGGAACATTCCGGATAATATATTTTAGGTGTGCCTATAACACACACACACATAAGAAAATGGAATATTTATCTTACCTTGTCTCTGTTAATGTTGGGGGGATGCTTTTGGCGAGGAAGGTATGGAACATGCTTTCTTGAAACAATGCCTCTTTTCCCTTTTCGGCCGGTAAGCCATTTCGCAACTTTTTTTAAAGATGAAACAGACTCTTTGCCATCTCTTGGCACGTTGTTGATCAAATCCATTGGTGAAAGGGATTGTATGTTTTTGGGATTTTTGAAGTTGTATAGGGCTTCGATTGCATGGGTAGTAGCAAAAGCCCAACAATGATCTGAACATAAAATTAAGTTTACATTAAGGTATACAAGATTAGTGTAGTAAAGATCGAATAACTTCATGCGTCCGAGAGTATTTTAAAATTACTCCATGTTCTTTAGTGTGTTCTTAATTTCACACATTTTTTTAACTTTTGCAATCATGGGAAATTTAAGTATGTATACATTGACTAAAACATTAATTTCTAACATGTGACTCATGTGACATTGTGACTAACAACATTAAACACATCCATGTCTATAAATCTATTTGAATACAATAGTAATTAAATGGGGAGTTTTTTACCAAAGGAGGGTACTTTGAAATCTTATTTACCAAATCAGGGTACTTTTTATCTTATTTCCCAAATAAGGGGAGTTTTTGCATTGTCATCCAAATTCGAGTGCCACGTCAGCACACGAATTGGGTCATCATTTTTAAATATCCACGTCACATCATTTTAATTAATTAATTTTCCATATGATGCCATATTGTCATGTGCTAGTACGTACATCCAACAAAAATCAAAAAACCTGGGCATAGAGGGGAATCGATCCCTTCTCCCCTCAAAGGCATATAAAAGCTGCTCCCACTAGGCTAAGATAAGTGTTTACAAACTTGTTGTATTCAAACATACTTATCCCTTCGGCTAAACATATGAAAAAATTCGATAACGTTCAACAATAGCAACAAAATAATGTAGAAAGTCATCAACAACAAACAAAAAATCTTTGGAAGACACTGCATAAATTCTTCACCAAATGATTATAGTAATCAATACATGTATCACTAAAAAAGAAATGTACCAAAAATTACTAATAAACAAAATGATATGGTTCTGTAGTATTAAAAATAAAAATATGAGCATCTCGACATGACAAAGTTCTACGCAAATCACCACAACATATCATAGTAACAACCAATATGTCCATCATCCAAAAAAGAGTACTTAAGATTACAAAATAAGAGAGTTCTCCAATATTAAAAATATGAGCATCTTCTCGTGACAAAATTTACGCAAAGCACCACAAGTGCATCCGGGAAGCTCATGTCATATTCACGTTTGCCACCACCACCTACACATAAAAAAGTTAGCGTGAGCATATTACACAAATATACACAAACCCACACACATATATTAAATATATGCAATTTAGGATACAAAAAATGCCGCAAGACAGTATGGAAAAAGTAATCTCTTTTCAAGCAAAGTATTAAAAAAAAAATACAGCAATCTAACCTAGTATAGTTGGTATTTATGTTTACATGTATCCTAACAAAAATTGTTATATCTGCCGTTTTTTAAAAATCAGTTAGGATTCAAATCTGCCAGTATAAGTGGTTCACCAGTTTAGTTATTAGACTAAAATAATTCTGCAAGTTTTTATAATCAACATTAATACAAATTATTAGTGTACATGTAAGGCTAAAATATATTCAACAATACATGTATTAATAACTCTAGCAGTAATGACCCCATAAATAATTAGAAATTGTATTACTAAAACATTAGAGTGAATGGAAAAACTGAAAAACTAGTGACAAAATATAAAATTACAACATTAGAAATACCTAGTATAGATGAGACCATCAGTCCATCTTTTTTCTCTTGTTTTTACATGTCCGTCTATCATGACCCGGCTCTTTACAAATGCCGCACAGTGTCTTAGTTTTACCTTCTTTGATATCCATCTCGTTTCTAATTCGTGTGGATTGAGGTCTTCCTTTCTTTGAACGCCTACGAGTAGGATCCGGCAACAGTTGAGGAATATTTGCTTCCGGCCAATAGTCTTCATGAGGGATTGGGCTAAACTGAGGGGCCCAAGTTTGAGAGTAGTAGTGAATGGTGTAGTACTCCTCAGTGTACTGCCAAATATCAAGTGTTAACTGTCCACACACCGCCATCACATGTGAACATGGAAATTTTTAAATTTGCCACTTTCCACAACTGCATGTTTTTTGAGCAAGGTGGACCACTTGTTTATTGTGCCCTTTCTGCATCCCCTCACCATATGGGGCAGTTAATACTTCACAAACTCCTTGTGCTCTATCAAAGTGAACAATATCATGTGTGTTTGCCTTCACCCGATATCCTTCAATAGTCGCAAGAACATGTGGCGTATACAAGTATCGTTTAGCCAACGCATCTTCAACAAACCCCCGTCTCACAGAAAAAAATTTAACTAACCGATAGAAGGTTAATTGCACACAAGCTGTGATAGGCAAATTCCGAGCACCTTTTAGCACACTGTTGAACACCTCAGATAAGTTGGTGGTCATTATTCCATAACGTCGGCCCCCATCATGAGCCAATGACCATTGTGCTACCGGGATCTTGTCCAACCATTTACGAGCTTCGGGGTTGATTTTGTCAATTTCTTGGATTATGGCATCAAACTTCCGCACTTGGTGTGCACTTCCTGCTCTATACACAAGCACTTTTAACTGTTTATTGTGAAACTTGTCATTGAAATTACTGCATATATGTCGCAAGCAATATCGATGATAACCCCAAGGTTCTCGCCACATGGAATAAGGATCGTTAACTGCAGAAGTAATTCCTTTATGACGATCAGAAATTAAGCAAACTCCTTTCCGTTGAGTTACTTTCTGTCTAAGACAATGAAGAAACCAACTCCAACTGTCAAAAGATTCTTCCTCAACGATAGCAAATGAGAGAGGGAATAGTTGATTATTTCCATCAACAGCCATAGCTATCAACATTTTCCCTTTGTATCTCCCATACAAATGAGTTCCATCAATACTAATTACTGGTCTGCAGTACTTGAATCCTTCAACAGATTGTGGAAAAGCCCAAAATATACGCTGAAAAGTCCCCATATTCTGATCGTGCAACTTTTCAAACTGCCATACGACAATCATGTCATTACACTTTTCAAGCGCGGCTACAAATTTAGGCAAAGTTTTATAGGACTTATCCCAATCACCAAACACAGTGTGTATTGCCTTTTGTTTGGCATTCCACATCTTCTTATATGATACATCGTAAGAGAATTTTTCTTTCGAAGTCTCTATTAAGGCTGCCACTGTAATTGAAGGCTCCACTTTGACTTGATTTTCAATTTCTCGTGCTAACAAATTTGAGTCTAACATTGGGTGATCCCGACTCAAACTTTGGTACAAACATCGGTGTGGGCCGTCATATTTAGTTATTTCAAAGAGCTGATGGGACTTACGCTTACATGCTCGAAGCCTCCAACAGCATCCACCTTCCTTGTGTTTCGCACACTTCAATGCCCACACATTTGATTTCGTTTCAACTACTTCGTACATGCGGTGCCTCTTAATAGAGTAAAGTTGAACAGCCCTTTTCAAATCAGCTTTATCCTTAAAAGTTAACCCTTTCTTTAACTCAACACTTGGAGTCCACTCAACGGTTGGCTGTAATAATGACCAACTACTAGTAACGTCATCATTTGCAGCATCAATATGGTTGAAGAAAGGAACATTATCTCTACTTTTTTCCTCTCCAAGCACCACATCGTCATTTTCATTTTCCTTAACCACTTCCTCATCACCCTCACTGTTTTCCTCATAATCTTCCTCTTGTTCAATACATTCTTCCAAGTCAATTGTCTCATTATCAACATTCATATCAAAAAATATAGCATCACTTTCAGAATGGATCATTTGTTGCACTGCATTCATGCCGATGCTTGCAAAATCTGAATTAAGTTAACAAGGAAAATAGTATACAATAATAAGAGTGAATCAAATACAAAACTTTACACGTAAATGTGCTAGTATGAAATAAAGTACTTTTAATAAAATGTTTACTGTATAATCAATTTTTTTAGCAAAAAAAAAATCATGGCCTGAAATAGAAGAGTACTTTAATTTATGGCGTGAAATCAGTAAATAGGTGACTAAAACTAGAACTATGGCCTAAAAGTTTTGTATAAAGTACTTTTCGGTTTTACAAAAATTTTCATGGCCTAAAATTAGTAAATAGGAGACTAAAATTAGAATTATTAAATACGAGACTAACTTTACATTAGTATGAAACTTGCTAGTATGTAAATATCATGTCATTCGTATAATCGTATTATCATGGCATCTAAGAGCCCGTTTGGTAGCACCAAAATCGGCTGTTTTGGCTGATTCTGCTGAAATTTATGATATTCTGGCTGGAGTGGCTGTTTTGGCTGATTCTGCTGATTTAAGAAAAAAATATTTTAAAAATATATTTTATTAATAAATTAAAGAAAAAATTATATGTAAAAATAGCTAAAATGGTCCTCTACAGTAACTTCAGCCAATACAGCCAGAAAAGTAACTCCAACCTTACTTTTTCGGCTTATTACACAATTCAGCGCGCGAAAGTAAAAGTTACGTGTTTGGTGAAAAAGCTGGCTGATAAGCCTGATAAGCCGAAAACAGAGTTCTCCAAACGGGCTCTAAGAGGGGATATAAAATTTAAAATATTTCAATTTTTTGGATCGGTTTATGAGACTTCTAAAATAGAAAATTAAGTGTATAGGTCCTAAATTGAAGAAAAACTTATTTCAATGCAATTTCTATAAATAATTGAATTTGGGGAGCAATAAAACTAAATTTGAAGCAAGAAATTTACAAAACAATTAGAAGAGCAGAAAGAGGAGAATCAATTAATAAATGTTTACTATATAATGAATTACATACCTGAATTTGAAGAAGAGAATCAGAGAAAAACCGAAATTTGATGAAAGGCGAAAACGTGTTGATGAGCAAATTCCTGAAGAGCAGAAAACGAAACCCTAACTTACTTGGATGTCGGAAGGAATAATAGTTCGCATTTGGGGCAAAGCCAAGAAACGATTTAGTTTGAAAAGTATTATGCCTGGTTTTAGTAAATATATTAACAAGCCTAAATCTATACGGTACATATAAACTTAGAAACTAAATTTTATCAAATAGGTCTTGTGGTGCAGTGGTTTAAAAGTTGATATAACAAGCCATATGGTCCGGGCTCGATTCCTGGAGGGCTCAATTTTTTGAGCGGTTATGATTTGCCTTCAGCATAAATCAAAATGACGTGGATATTAAAACACAGATGACATGGATATTTAAAAGGGTAGCTCTCTGGTGCATTCTCATTGCAGAATGTATTGGTGCATTCCAGATGTGGCGAAATATGATTGGAAGGCATTCCACGTAAGAAATTTTGTTTAGAATTTTTATAAAATTGCATAGTGAGCCCCGAACAATAAATAATTCACACATGTCTTTTTAACGTTTTCCCCTTCCAAGAAATCCCATCGTCGGCTCCTTCCATAAATCAAATCTCATTTTTATCTTCACTTTTAACAGCAATTGTCAATAGAAAACCGATCAAGAATCTGGCCAGATTAAAAATCTGATTAAGATATAATTTATGAGCATCTTCCCCCTTCATCGAGTAGCCGTCACGCAAATCGATCAAAATACACACCCTCTGCCGCAACTCGTCTGTCACCACATCTCGTCCGCCGCCGTCAATTGTTCAACATCTTGCTGCCGCTCGCTTGAAGTCTGCCACCATCGCTCGCTTGACGTATGCCTCCACCTCTCGGTTGAAGCCTGCTGCCGTTGCTCATTCATCGTCCGCTGTTAGGAGGTTGGTGCCAGCTCTCTTCATCTCCACCTTAGCTTCTGTCAAGGTTAGTATCTACGGAGTATTAATCATTTAAGTAAATTGTGTGTTAGTATGGTGAATTTTATTTTGAGAGGAATTATTGATATATGGTATTGATAATTGATATTATCAGTATTATTTATTGTTAATTGGGAGATAATAATTACATGCATTTGGCCTATATACACTACTTGATGGATCCTATTGCTATGAAATTGTGTAAAATACATAAAATTTGGCCTATATACACATAAAAATATGACTGTAAGTAATTCATAGGTGCCTTATTGATAAACTTATAAAAAGATGTTAATTTCAATTGTACAATTGTATGCATATTGAATCTGGGTGCATGTGTAACTTATTTTCAATTGTGTCAAGTACTCAAGCATACATATCAAAATGAGTCTACCAACAAGTTTCTTTCTTTCTGTCATATTCCTAAATGTTTTGTGGTACTAAGATCAAAATTACTTATAAATCTTACCACAACCTAAGCAGTACTAAGGAAAAACAAAACAAGGACACTAAATATATTTAGATACATGTAGCAACATCTCTATGATCAAACTAGGCAGCAAGTATGCATATACCTGAAAAGGAACTTAAAAACAGAACACGTAGAGTAATATCTTTTATAAGAATATAGATATATTCTTTATGTGTCACTTGTCTACATTTCATCTCTCAGATCACCCCCTCCAAAGTAAATAAACAATAACTAGCGTATTTATACGCCCTACTGTGTTTTAGTATATTTGTTAATAATGGAAAACATTTTGTCCTGCATAGTGTTTTGGATTTTGGGGTTAATTGTTCAGTGGAAAATGCATCTCATAAATTAAGAACTTGACTGACTTGAGTATTTTAATCAAGCAGTAAAGATGATATAGGTACAAGCAATAACGCAGTCACCAAAAGTGGAAATGATAGTACCAAGTATTTGTATAAACGATATTGTAACAACTATACATAGACAAGCTCCATGCCACAGAAGAGTTGAGGAAGATAACTACTAGATGAGAAGAAAAATAAACAGAGAAAAGAGAACTTCAGAAATAAAGAGATATAAAAAAACATTTGATTATAACAATTACTTATATCACATATTAGAACATGAGAAAAATATTTAATTGGCATGGTAGTCATGATGTTCATACTTTTTTCTTCAAAAGTAGGAAGAATATGTTACCCCCTCAGTTCCAAATTGTATGATATATTTACTATTCACTTGGTCAACATAAATCACTCTTAATCTTTTATTTTATATATCAAAAGTTTATGAAATTTGAATTATTTTTTGCAGGCTTTGTAGCGATTTTAATGTAGTTTTCTGAATATGTAGATTTCATTTTCTAGAACTAATTTGAGTGTTCACAGGGATCAATTTGCTTTATCGTCAGTCAAACATCGTAAACCGTAATGTATCTTACAAATTGGGACAGAGGGAGTATTAGAATATTCATATATTTTTGGTTAGTTTAGGATATTTCTATTGAAAGAATTATTCTCTTCATATTCATAATATATGGTATATTTTGTATGTACTTCAATTTACTTGATGTCATACTTTTTTAAATATGCTTTGTTAGGTAAAAAAAGATGTCAAAACTAAAGTGTTTTGGTAATAGAAACTCTATATTTCAATAAGTGGTTATTCCTTGTATCAACAAGGCAATATGACATGTTGGTATATGCAATGTTTTGATCCCCAGTGTGTGATAGATCGATGAAAATCACTCGAGAAAGGTGCATTCATTTCGCAAGAGAAGATGTAGCAGATAAAGCAAGTATCAGGTCGTTTGCTACAAGAAAGGTTACTTGTGGGCCAATTTTTTGTGTGACACAGCAGCTCCTTGGAAGCTTGGCTTTGCAGCCAGTGTTTTGTGACTTTTAGTAGAGTTAATTGACAGCTTTTGTGACTAATTAGTTTGCGGGTATAGTGTAACATTTCAGTTTTGAATAATGGTTCTTGGTGGCAGTGTTAGTGTAATGCCAATGTAATATGTAATTCTAACTTCCTGTATGTGTCCCACTTTCTGGAATAAAGACACCCTCTTTGTGTTATTTGAGATTTTTTAATCTTTCAGAGATGTTCAAACAGGAAGAGTTAGACTATTAAAAAATGTAAATGCATTGAAATCCAAAATTTGTTTACAAATGTATCGGGGCATTACCCCTGTAGTACTCAAAGACATGAAAAACATAAAACAATTAGAGGGCATTCCCTCTAGTGTTTTCTTAATCAAGCTAAAATGCCCATCAACCAGCCCTACTGGTAGTATCAAGCAAAATTACAACAAAATGAGGGCATTCCCTCATATTGGGCGAACCAGACCCAAAAACCTGAAGCGCAAAAATCAGAGTGATAATGGTACAAGTCTAAAACGTGATCATACTCACAGCTACTACGTACACATTATAAATGCTATATAAATTTCTGTAAACAAAGAGCTTTATATTGACAACAAAATCTTGTGTAGTCGAAGGAGTATGTTCAAACTTCATAGTGTTTTTGTCTTCCAAATGATGTTGAGTGTCCTGCATAAAGCAATCTGGATAACTTTTCTCTTCATCCGGTTACTTGCATGCTCTATTGCTCTTTCCCGATCCACTTCACCGAGCTAGAAAGGGTAGACATGATACATTTGATGTCTAGAGACTTTCATATGTCCTCCCAGATCCTGGCAGTGAAGTTGCATCGAAAATAAAGGCGTCTAACAAAATCCACCTCACATTGGCGGAATGTACAAATATTTTGTTCATCAAGGTAAAGCAAATTGTCTAGCATGGCAATTCTATTTTGAAAAATTAGCCAAGTAATGAAGGAGAACTTAACCTATATTTTGTCGTTAATAGTAGCCTATACTCATAATAAAAATATCTGGTTTAATTAAAGTACAATGAAATTGACAAAATGACAACCTCTTTATTTTACCAAAGAAAACCAAAACGGCAACCTCTTCACGGCTTCTCAAAAGCCCAATATATGCTGCAAAAATAACTATGTAGAATCAAATTTGAAACAGAACAACGGAAATGAACAACAACGGTACTTAACCTACAAAACTACAAAACATTTTTTCGCTAACCATAATCTAGTTCAAATGAAGTAAACAGAACCCGGGCAGAAATTAATACAAAATTAACAAAATTGAGTGAAGAGGGAATCAATAACTTCAAAGACCACAAATTTTATAATTATTGGCTGAATTTTTGAAATTTCAGCTCATTATGAGCTCAAATGACTTGACAAAATAGCCTTTAAGGTTTGAATTCAGATCATTTATTTCAGCTTAAGCTTCCATCATCCATTCATCCAAACAACTTTAATCCAAAATTAATTGACTCTTTTTATAATTTTCATACAAGTATACAATGTATAAGCTAAACAACATTTCCTCCAATAACGATAAACATAACCAAGTAGAACGCAGTTTCATGATAATGCCAAAAACCCAAAACTAAACCTGGACTAGTTTAAATTGGCTGTTATTTGTGTAGAAAATTTACTTTTAATCTATGTGAAGTAGATTGATCAGGTCAAACTGCATTTATGCAAGACATGCTAAAACCTTAAGATTAGTTTACTCTAATATATGTAAAGTACATTTTAGTTTAGGTCAAAGTTGTACACATTATTGCTTTTACTAATGAAGTATATGTACTTCGTTCTTAATCTTGAAGTTCAAAATTATGTTTATGATTTGGAAGAATGTAGTTTTACTTCAAAAGATTGACCTATGATAAACCTCCTAGTTCTTGGAGTGTTCTTTATTACTCTTTTTTATTCTTGGAGTGTCAATTGAAAAATGTGTTGATATACTGGAACGTCCAGCAAAGCCTACTGATGCAGCACAGATATATTGAGATCGAGTGCAGTAGAGGAATTGAATTATGCCTTAACACTTTTGGCATACATCACCTCTTTCAAGAGGTGGTTTAAGTTGTCAATTTAAAAATTAACATCATTAGTAATTTATTAAAAGTACAACTAGTCTTACTTTGTTCATTATACAACTTGTCATATCATATTAACAATTGTAAAATAAATAACTGGAATCTGGAAGTGATGCTGATCAATGCTTTCATGCTTCAGATTACCAATATAAAACAGTCTTTAAAAAATCTTGTATATGTGTATAATATATGCTGCGGAACTTCCTCAGTACGTGTTTTCTTATTTTTTGCACTTTTTTATG